TGGAAAGCAACACTTCAGAAGTTCATTGCCTTATCAACCACTGAAGCAGAATATATCGCCTTAACTGAAGCTATGAAGGAGGCATTGTGGCTTGAAGGTTTTGCAAAGGAGCTAAAACTTCAAGGTCGAGTTATCATTGTTAAATGTGATAGTCAAAGTGCAATACATCTGTCGAAGAATTCAGCCTATCATGAGTGAACCAAACATATTGATGTGAGGTTGCATTTCGTCAGAGGGGTAGTCGAGCATGGAGAAGTCCAAGTGCTGAAGATTTTAGCAGATCATAATGCTGCTGATATGATCACCAAGACGTTGCCTAATTGCAAGTTTTTCAACTGTATGCAATTGATAAAGCTGAATGAAGAAAGCTAGCTTCTTGATATTATATAGTTAGATCCAAGGTGGATATTTGTGAGATATTGAATCAAACTCTATGATAGTCGAAGTTTGTTCGCGAGTAATGTGTGTTGTAGTCGAAGTTTGTTCTAACATGCATTAGTCAATATTGCTATGTTTGTTAGCATGTTGAATTGGGTCTTGCTTGTAAGCCCAATTGTTTAAGTTAGCTTGTACCTTAAGTTAGCTTCTAATGGGTAATTGTTAAAATGCCCATTAGGTTAGTGTGTTAGTTTTCTTATAAATAGCATGTTACTCTCTCAACTTGAATAAAGAAAAATAGGAAGATAAAATCCTAATTCAAGAGAGAGGTTATTTGTTATTCTTGTATACTTGTAATCTTGTTTGATAGAGAAAGGAAAGAATATCAGTTTATAATCAATCTTTATTGTTTCTTGTTGTTTTTCCTTGTTTTCTTTGTTAGCCATAACCCTTGTGTGTTTCTTGTCTATAAAGAAACAGTATATATTTTGTTCCAAGGCATCCTTTTTCACAACAATAAGGGAGACAAGTCATCCAGCTGAAATGACTTCAGGACTTTCTACCCTCTCCATCTGTATCATCCTGGGTTTATTGTGCAAAAGGTGTTTTAGCAAAAATTTGTCAAAAGGGGGAGATTGAAGGCTCTAAAGATTTGACTAAAATTTTGGTAAAACATGATGTTGCATAAGATGTTTCAACAAGAAGAAATCTGTTGAAGGAAGACATGTCAGTCAAGATGTCCTAGCATTGTGGACTCGACATCCTGATCTGGTGCAACAGATTTGTTGCAGATCTGGTCCAAGATTTAAGGAGCAATCAGAACATGGGTCAAGGGAAGATTAAACAGAGACTTCGAAACCCATGGACATCTGAAGACTATAAAATGAAGATTAAAACCTAGGGTAGAATAATAATTCTTATTAAGACTTTTGTAAAGTAGAAAATAAGGGTTTAAGATTTTGAGAGTCATGTACTTTCTTTTGTTGTAAGTCACCCTTTGTATCGATTGATACATTGTGGTAGACATAGTTTTACAAGTTCATAAACCTGTATAGGACGAAGAGAAGAAAAAATATTATCAATGATTCTTTGATATTATAAAATAACTTAGGATGTGTTTAGATTGACAGTAAACATAATTGGTTCTAACAAAATTGAGTTTAGTAGAATTAATTTATGTTGAGATACATATATGTAAACATGAATTAAACAATAAATTTTACCGTAAAAATGATCTAGAATCAGTTCGGGAGATAGAAGCTACAAATTCTAACTTCAAATAGAACCAATTCTATTGTTGGTAAAACAAACACCTCAAACTCACGCAGAATCATTTCCACATATGGATCTTCCAAAAGCCAATTCAAATATACTAATATTAATATATTTTAATACACAATTTTCCCTCAAAATAGAGGAAATATTACTAATAAACTATCGAGTATTAATCATCAATTATATATTACCGTTTAAACATACTAGTAGAACTTGAAAAGAGATCCAAAAAAAGAAAAAGAAAAAGAAATCCGATTAAGAATGAAGAGAAGAAGGAATAGTAGAATGTATAGGACGGAAGGTCCAATAATTTACTAGTGTTATTTATTGGTGTTGGAGTTGATGATGTAATTTGAAAGCGCATTGGGAGAGAGCGACAATCACCCAAATGCATTGTACATAGTCCAACATTCCAATACGGGTACTCAGGGGATGAATCTTCTTTTCTTTCCATTTGACTATCAAAATAAACAAATCATGTCACTTTTATCTTTAAATTAATAATAAAGTGGCTCTGGTAATTGAATACTAAGATTATGTAAACTATAATTAGTGTGTCATTGCGTGCTAGCATTGTTCAAATTGATACACTTGGTATTCCTCCAAATATGTTATTTCAAGTTTTTGCTGCTTAAAAAAATATCCTAGAAAACTTATAAATATTTCAAAATCAATTTTAACTTATGAAAATGGAATCAAATATAGCATACTGAAAAAGATAAAAATAAATAACAGTATATATTTATTTTATGTAGATCAATTTATTCCTTTAAAATTTTAAAATATCAATGCAATTTTTTAATTGAAAAATACTAATCAATTTAGTTATTTACTCAATAATTTTAAACGTTTTATTTTTATATATTTGTTATGATTAGGGAAAAATTAGGCTAAGTCAAGTTAAGACGCCTTAAATCTAATATAATAAAAAAAAATTAAAGTTTAAAACTAATTTTTTCATTGTTTTATATGGTTGATTATCTTTTTAAAAATATATTTTATATAAATTTGTTTATACAAGTAATTTGATATATATTTAAACAAACTTTTGCAATAATAAATCAAAAGTGATTAAACTTTATTTTAATATTTAACCTAGATTTTTGTAAAATCTTACTAAATATAATATTAGTTTTCACTTTTAATTTATCATAATATATTTTAACATACAAAAATGTAATATATGTTACCAGGTATAAAATATTAAAAATATTAACAGATTATTTTTAAATATAGAAAATTAATATGATAATAATAGTAGTGAAATGTTTTTTTTATTTAAATAAAACTTTGGTTGATATATGCTAAAAAGTTGATTTTGGTGAGTCTGATCTTATCCATTCCTTTGTGTAATTATATAATATTCCTTCGTGTAATTATACTATAGAATACTTATCTAAATCAATATTTAGATTAAAAAAATTGAAGTTTAATATTTTTTTTCCATATTATAACCTCAAAGTTCTTATTAGTATCTTAACATAAAAAAATTCGTATTAATTATTTTATTATTTAAAACATTTTTTATTAATAATGAAAAATATAAAATAATATATTTTGAAGAGTTAAAAAATTAATATAAATAATTTTAAAATTAAGGATCAAAGTGAATCCCAGTATTAATATATGAAATTAAAAAATATATTAAATTAAAAATTTATTGATTTAATAATTTCCTCAAAAAATAAAAAGATAAACTTAAATGAAGGTAATTGTTAAAAATTATGTTGGGATGTTTATCAAATTCTTAAAATTATTTTAATAAGTAAAAGATATGTACGTTTATTTGAATATTATTCACATTTTCATACTTCTTTTATATATATATATATATATATATATATATATATATATATATATATATATATATATATATATATATATATATATATATATATATATATAACCATAATATTTATTTATTTTTAAGCATTAATATAAATAAATTATTAATATTTATAAATTATAAATAAAAAATTAGACTAATAAAGAATATAATTAAAAAAATAAAATAATTAAAAGTACATAAAAATTGTTTTTTTTTACCATTTTTTGCGTGTTGGAAGTTATTTAACATATCAATATATGAATAATAATCTAGTAATAATTATATATAAATTACATATTAATTATATTATTAGTATATTTTAATATATGTGAAAGATGACAAAAAAAAAAGATTATAAAAAGTGCGAAAAGAATTTCAAATATATTTTCAAGTGTTCAACATGTGAGTGTTGGAAATCCTTTGATTTTTACTAAAAAAAAATAATTTTTAGATGTTTAAATATAGATGGTTAATTAATATTGTAAAGTATCTTTATACTGTTTGTGTGTATTATTTAAAATATTAAAATTATTTCCAGTATTTGATATTAAATTTAAATCTGAAAATAATACAACTCATATATTAGGCAAAGGCAATACAAAAACGATGTCGCACGTGTGCGTAAAGTGCAAAGCAAAAACGAGAATAAGGATAGTGATGAAAAAGATAGGAGAGTGAAAAACACGCGCGAGAGGCGCGTAAGACTAATATAAGTTGCCATCTTTGTCCGTGAAATACAGAGACAGAGTCTCATAGCTTTATACTTCAAGTCTCGTAGTTTTCCCACTCACAAACATAACACTCTCTTCTTCATTCCTCCATTTTTATTCATTTCATATGTCCCCGCCGTATCAAATTGGCGGCTCCGATTACACCGCCGCCTGATCTACCTCCCCTCTCCTCCCTTCCTCCGGTATCCACTCTTTCCTTTCCCACTCTCTCTATTTTTTTTCTTGCTTTGTATAATTCATTCAATAATGCTCATGGTGATTTATATTTATATGTATATATTTTAATCAGCTTCAGTTTTAAGCATTATTTTATTCATTCTATTTGCTTCTTTAGATTTGGTTCTACCATTATCTATTATAAATTAATATATTGTTATTTAGTTTCTCATATATTTTTTAATTTCGTGATAAGATTCCAGCAATTGTTGGATCGTGTAAGTAATTTTTGTAGATTTCGTTTTCTTGGAGATTTGTTTTTTCAAACTATTCTTCAGTTTACTCTAAAAATCTCAGCTAGTTTTTTTTTGGATTACATCAATCTCAATAGCTCAGATTAGGTTTTGTTTATGTAAGTAAATAGTTGATTTTGATTTTGGTGTTCTCTTGTTGTTCTTGATTTTGAACTTGAAATTCGGAATACATTATATATTTATATTTATAAATTTTATATTACAACTAATAAATTTTTTTTTGGGTATTTTGTTAACTTTTTGTTTTTAAACCCGTGATGACAACTTATGTTAGGGTGTATATTTTTGTCAGATCCTTTTATGCGAGGGCATTAGAAGATGGAGTCATGCGAGTGTATAGACACGCCTTATCCACCAGATGAACTTCTTGTCAAGTATCAATATATCTCCGATGTTTTAATCGCGCTTGCATATTTCTCGATTCCTGTGGAACTGATTTATTTTGTTCAGAAGTCTGCTTTCTTTCCGTATAGATGGGTTCTTATGCAGTTTGGGGCTTTTATTGTTCTTTGTGGGGCAACTCATTTTATAAACTTGTGGACGTTTTCCGCCCACTCTAAAGCTGTTGCTGTTGTAATGACGATTGCTAAAGTTTCATGTGCTATTGTGTCGTGTGCCACTGCGCTTATGCTTGTTCATATTATTCCGGATCTGTTGAGTGTTAAAACCCGTGAGTTGTTTCTTAAGAACAAGGCGGAAGAGCTTGATAGGGAGATGGGGCTTATTCTTACTCAAGAAGAAACTGGAAGGCATGTGAGAATGTTGACTCATGAAATAAGGAGCACGCTTGATAGGCATACGATTCTTAAGACTACTCTTGTGGAGTTGGGTCGGACTTTAGGATTGGAGGAATGTGCATTGTGGATGCCGTCAAGGAGTGGTCTTAATCTGCAGCTTTCTCATACTTTAACTTATCATGTACAAGTTGGGTCTACTGTGCCAACAAACCTTCCTATTGTCAATGAAGTCTTCAATAGCCCGAGAGCTACGCGGATACCACACACGTGTCCACTTGCCAGGATAAGACCTCTTGTCGGAAGATATGTGCCACCTGAAGTTGTTGCTGTTCGGGTGCCACTTTTGCATTTGTCAAATTTCCAAATTAATGATTGGCCTGATCTTTCAGCAAAAAGCTTTGCAATCATGGTTCTCATTCTCCCTACAGATAGTGCTAGAAAGTGGCGAGATCATGAGTTGGAGCTTGTCGATGTTGTTGCAGATCAGGTTAGTTTGATTTCCTTTATTTACTGGTTTGCGTTTTATATGTATATTGTCTATTCTTTATTCTTTATTTTTGTTACATACTATTATTCCTTTACTCTTGATTGATTGCTTAAACCGTCATACTCATTGTCTGTTATTGCCTGGAAGTTCTGTTCTGACTATCATTGTAAACATGTTTTAGAATTTGGGGCATAGAATAATATGAAAATTAAGAAATGGCTATGAATCAATTGGTCATTTGGCCTTGCCTTAAACAATTGCAATTTGGGGTGTATATCCGTATTTCTCCATCACCGTGGTAGAAGACAGCATATGACACCTTGTAACTTAAGTAAAGAACCATATGTATGCATATGGACTGAGCCTAGTGAATTCCAAGAAGTGGCTAAAAAGGAAGACCAAATCACATAATTATGATACATATGATCTTTGTATATATTAGTTATTACTTTTTGTCTATAGAATTCAACACCCGATATACTAGTAGTTAACATGTAAATTCAATCGTATGTCATTTTCTTTTCACTTAACATTGTATTCGAACCAATCCAGTTTTGACTTTGGACACATACAAGTGGCTCAATAACTAAACTGAGATAGGCTCTGATACCATATTAATATTAAGAATAAGATTGAAAACACGGGGTAAAAGAATACTTGATAATATCTAATTACTTCTCTTAACATCAAAGATTGAACAAGTCTGATGCAGATCTGTCTTGGATAAAGTTATAACCAGTGTGTGTGGGACTGGCTTTTAAATGTTCTATTCCCTTACTTCCACGTGCATGCTTCCTAATCTTAACAATACCAAATAAAATACCTGAAACTTTTTATTTGATTGTTTGTCTTTTAGGAATATCGTCTTACTAGATTAAATGAGCATATTAACTTTGTAATTTGTCTTTGTGACATTAAGCGCCACAGTTGCGGTTTCAAAATTTCGCCAACGCTTTTTAGTCCTGATGTGGCATTTGTTTCCTCACATGCACCTCAGATGTGAGGACATGGTTGTGTTATCATTATTACATTTTAAATTTTTATTTGAGATACTATTCCTCCATATGCTGAATCCCTTTAGTTTCCAAACAGGTAGCAGTTGCCCTTTCACATGCTGCTATTTTGGAGGAGTCTATGCGAGCCCGGGACCAACTCATGGAACAGAACGTTGCTTTAGATTTAGCTCGGCGAGAAGCTGAAATGGCAATTCATGCTCGCAATGATTTCCTTGCAGTCATGAATCATGAAATGAGGACACCAATGCATGCAATTATAGCACTCTCATCACTTCTTTTGGAGACAGAACTGACTCCAGAGCAGAGGGTTATGATAGAAACTGTATTGAAGAGTAGTAATGTTTTGGCAGCACTTATCAATGATGTTTTAGATCTGTCCCGACTGGAAGACGGTAGCCTTGAATTAGAAATGGGGAAAATCAACCTTCACGGTGTCTTAGGAGAGGTAATTTCTATAAGCTTTTCTGATTAAACGGTCTGAGATGTCAGTAACACTATTCATTAGCTTTTACCGTGAACAGTGTTGTGATTGCTTTTTTCTATCTTTAATTCAGGTCATTGAACTGATAAAGCCTATTGCATCTGTGAAAAAATTACCAATTACTTTAATTCTGGCCCCTGATCTACCTAATCATGCCATTGGTGATGAAAAACGGCTTATGCAAACACTTCTAAACGTTGTGGGTAATGCTGTCAAATATACTAAGGAGGGTTATGTTTCTATCAGAGCTTCTGTTGCAAAACCAGAATCCTTGCAGGATTGGCGACCGCCTGAGTTCTATCCAGCATCAAGTGACGGTCATTTCTATATACGAGTCCAGGTACCTCGTGCATCTTCAATATCTGAAATCTCTATCCAACCATATATTATGCTATTGTCCTAGCAACTGTAATTAATCTAGGTATTGATTTCCATCTCATGAGTCATGACTGACCCGAGCATCCTTCTTTGTGCAGGTTAAGGATTCTGGATGTGGCATTCTCCCACAAGATATTCCGCATCTCTTTACCAAGTTTACTCAGTCTCAGAGTGGAGCGGGTCGATCCAGCAGTGGCTCAGGTCTTGGGCTAGCCATTTGCAAAAGGTACAGAAAAACAGTCATATTTCCATGTCACCATCATTGCAAGTCACCATCATTGCACCTATTTGAAATGCATGTTAATGTTATTACTAAAATAGATTAGTATTTGACTCAAAATTGATTCAGATTTGTAAATCTCATGGGTGGTCACATTTGGATGGAAAGCGAAGGACCTGATAAAGGAAGCACAGCTACATTTGTAGTCAAACTTGGGATTTGTGGCAATCCAGATTCATCTGATCATCAAGCTACAACCAGAGGCCAAGCATATAGTGGAAGCGGAGGCCTTGCTAGATTTAAACACTTAGTCAATGACGGCGACATAGGTTTTTCTAATAGACGCAATCAAAGAAGTTTCTAATAATCCAAAACACCAAATTTGGACTCATGTCGACTTGGTTGTACTAAACTCTCATTTTGCAATATGCCAAATTGTATGGTTTGCTGTTTGCAGTTATAGAATAGGATTAATGTTTCAGACATCTTTCTAACAAACAGTCTTATCGCCCTATCATATTGTTAACTAGTTATACAGTTAAGGAAATTAAAAAATAATCCACTGCTTGATAAAACTTTTTGCCTAATAGTTTTAAGCAACATTATAAAATCGGACTGAACAAGTCGGTTCAACCGATTGAATCTGGAATTGTTCAGTTTTTTGGTTAGTTTGATTCTGGTTTTATAGTAATCTAGCTGAATTTTATTGGTTGCACAACTGTTGGTCCAACATGTGTTTTTTTAATAATTTTTTTTCAATATTTTTTTAATTTGTATTTCTGTCTATTAAATTATATGATCGAAATGTATCATTGGTTCTATTTTTAGTCTCGTTTTTTAAAACAACGGTTTTGAGGAAATGGCAAATATCAATGTGAATCAATTGCTACTTTCGGCTTTCACAATGTTTTGGTTTACCACGTAACATTCTTGTTGATATTTAAGCAGTTTGGTGAAACAATGTTTACGACTTTCTTTTATTCATAAAAGCATAAATATTTTTTTTACAATACTAATATGTATTAATATGTTTGGGAAGGATTTATAGGAGGCAACACGAGATTAATCCAGGGCAGACATATAACATACATTGGCTAAAATAGGGGTTTTAGTTGGACCATGATTCCCTGCAGTGAGAGAACCACACTGTCACACAATTAAGGACAATATAGGTGTTACGATTTAAATCAAATGGTGCAGATTTTACATCATTAAATATATAAAATATTTTTGTAAGAGATGAAGGACTAGAATCACCCTGCAGTTAGCATTTGACTACAGCGAATTCATTTCCGTTTTAGTCGCTCATTTATAACAACGGCCACCCATTATATGTAGAGTTTTTCTTTTGATTGAATCACTCATGTGTTAACTACATCAATCGTCTACTTATGAGCGCGTGAGAAATGACGTGTCAAGGAAACTAAGTTCTTTAGAATAATTGGGAAAATAATTGCTCTTACTCCACACTCTTGAAAGAGAAAAATATTATAATTGCTTTCTTAGGTTCTAAGATTCAGGTCTAAAAAATTCCTATAAATAGTTCAGTCATAAGGTTGAAGGAAGACATTAAATTCATTGAAAAATCACCTAAATACATAGTTTCTCATCATCTTTGTGTGAGCTTGCTATAACACCTCAACGAATCTAAACCCTTCAAACAACTCAAATCAATTAGAAATTGTCACCTATTATACTTTTAACAAGTGCAAGGTGTTGTCCCAATTGTTTGGTTAATCGATTAGTCATTCTCCAATCGATTGGCTTAATGCTCAAATAGATTGACTCTCTCATTAAAGTTTTTTCAATCGATTACATAATGTTACAGTCGATTGGTTTGTTCAAAAATTCTTTGAACAACTTCTTAATCACTTGGCTTGACTTGAAAAATAGTTTATAAGATCATATTTTTGAAAAATATATTTTAAGGCGTGTGTGAGTTTACTTAGTCTTTAAGAGTTCTTCCTTACTTTTACAAGACTTGAGTCACTCAGACAGACTGACTCGACATGAAGAACTTTCACACTTTATCTGAGGCTTTAAAATATTTGCTAGATTTCTTTTGATTATATGACCACTTTAATCTTAAGTCTCTTATTGATGAGGTATGAAATGTTTCTCTAATTAGGTCACTATCATCAAGGTTGAAATCTGCCGACTTTATTCATTGTTGTCGTCATTAAAACTTCAGACGAATCTTCTGTGGAATTTTCAACTTTATACCTGCACGCGCATAAATCCATATTCTCCCTCTTTCTGACAATGACAACGCATCTCTCAGGGAGATGGTAAAAGAAACAACATATTTTATTTGGAGTGATTAAACTCTTCCACAGTTAAGTAGAGATTTTTCCACTTTGTCGAAATTAAAAAGGTGTATAAAAGCCATGTAAAGGATGCAAACATAATCACATAGATAAACAATAACATATAGGCATTTTATTTCATGTATGAATGGTTTAATATACCTAATTTGGTTCTTATAAAAAAACATGTTTTCTTTAGGAAAAGGTCTAATAAAGATATCTGCAAGTTGATTAGATGAAGTTACATATTTAAGTACGCAATCCCCTTTCTCAATATGATTACTAATAAAGTGGTTCCTAACTTCAATGTGTTTAGTCCAATAGTGAAGTATTAGGTTATTTTTATGAGGTTTATGACACTCGTGTTGTCGCATCTAATTGGGATGGCTCTAATATTGACACCGTAGTCATTTATCTGTTTTTTCATCCAAATAAGTTGAGCATAAAAACTACTCGCACCAACGTATTCTGTCTCAGCTGTGGATAGCGCAATACTTGCTTGTTTCTTGCTATGTCATGAGACAAGCGAGTTCCTAAGTAAGTGACATGTACTGCTGGTAATTTTCTTATTCAATTTGCACCCAGTAAATCGGTGTCAGAGTACCCAACTAAGTAACAATCTTTTCCCTTATCAGATACCCAACTCATTTGTATTATGCCAGATAGATGTCTCATGATGCGTTTGGTCGTGCTGAGATGTGATTCTTTTGGGGATGCTTAAAAGCGTGCGCACATGCAGACATCAAACATTATATTAGAACGCGATGCAGTTAGATAGAGAAGAAATCCTATCATATCTTGATACTTACTTTCTTCTACAAGTTTTCTATCTTCGTCCTTGTCAAGATTGCATGAGGTTGACTTTGAGGTTGTTATCATCTTGAACTTCTCCATGTTGAATCTTTTTAATACACGGCTACAAATAATGTTTATAATATCGCACACAAAATAGATGTAACATCGACTACCAAGCTAACATAACGAAGGGTGACATAAAAATTGTCACTTAACACCTCGGTTAATGAAAAACTGAGGGGTAGAGTTATATAATCATGGGTTCGAACCTCAACATCAGCATTTTTATTTTTTACACAAACAGTGCCTCATACCTCTTGGTTTATTTAAAAATTGAGGGGTTAGATAGTTTGTTTTTTTATAATAAAAATAATTACAATTTACACAAAATATTAATAAATAAGTTTGTTTGCAAACTACATTGTTTACATAGAATATTACATTATTTACACATAATATTAAAGTAAAAATGTTGTTCTTCATCGTCATCGATGTCGGTAAAGAACAAATGTTGGATTTCTTGGAGAAGAAAAAATGTTGGGGATCCACGTTTCATATATCAAATGCAATATATTCTCTATGACTTGCATTCATTTGTTTCTGATATAAAACAAAAAAATGTTAGCTAAATAAAATAAATATTCAGTTATATGATTATTTAAGAATACAAACCTTGAATCCATGATGATTTTCTGCATTTGCAATCCATCACACAAAGTAAATACACTCTCACCAGCCACATATTAAATAAACCTAATTTTTTATGCTATTGCAATCTATCATGGAGATCTAACTAAACATAGAGTTTCACAATAATGTTTCTTGTGGATTCACTACTATCTAATTTTAATATTCATAATACTTTTATAATGGGAATTTTAGGTTTCACGAGGATCACTAATGACAATGTCTTGAGCGTTGATAGTCATTAAATGGACGGTGATGATTTGTTTAAGGACGATGAAGATTTGTCTTAAGCTGAGAAAAATTAGGTATTTCTTTCATTTCACCTCATTTTTGCTCATTTGATTCAAATCATATTTTTCTTGATTCGAATCTAACTACCTTTTTTCAACCATTTTATGTGCTTCATCTCAAGCACATATAAATCATTTTATGTCATCATTCAAACAAAACATACATCATTCTGTTAATATTTTTCAATGTGATTTTGTGTGAAAATCAATTTCCTCTGTTTTGAGTGCTCAAAGTCTTGCTACGAATTTCTCACATCTTCAACTTTAATTGAGTTCAGATCTTGATAACAAGAGTTTTGAGATTGATTGAAGGAGTCACATATTTGAAACTAACCTTTCTTGAAGATCTTGTTGAGTTTTTCAGGTTAGCAAGAAATGGGGATTGTCAATGGTGGTGACAAATTCCATTGAAAAGAAGTAGGTTCTTCTCTCAGCATTGCCTTAGTAGTAACTGTGTGGAAGACTACAAACAAGGCAGAGTTCTTCTCGAATCTTCGAAAAATATCACCACTCAAGGAATTGGTAGGATTAAGGGGTTAATAGCTACACATGAAGGCTTGGAGCAGAATTGATGTTATTGGAAGGTTTAAGAAACGTATTCGAGTAAAAATTATATATAAGAGTTTGGCAAGTTTGCTAGATACAAGTTAAGATCCAAATTAGGAGATTTATTTTCTCAGTTGTAAATTGTGGATTGGTAATTGTATGAACTCATTGAAATATTTTTCAAATAACATGGAACTATGCAGGTTTCAATGGGAAACCTTGAAGAGTGCACGTAGACCAAGTGAGGACAAACGCCGAAGTACTATAAATCTTTGTGTCATCTTTCTAACTCTACTCTTGCATTTATATTCCGAGTGATTGCGTGTTAGGTTTTTAAATTCCTTCGTACTATAACGTTTTGTTGTTGATAGCGATTAATTACGTAAAGCTTAGGTTTTGTTAGAATTGGACAACTAGTCTAGTTAGTATTATGATTGAATAATCGAAAACGAAATGTATTTAGTAATCCACATTGAATCAATTGCATAAACTTCTTGTGACTGCACAACATGAATCAATTCATACCAAAAGGTTCATTATTTGTATTCTTAGATATTTGTGAAACAAGTTGTGTGTTTTCTTGATCATAATCGTTTGTATAATTTTCATTTTTGCTTCAAACCTTCTGCCTGCAACTCATTTTTGAAAACACTCTAATTTTGGAAAATGACAGTTGCATTTTTTTAATTTGGGTTTATCACCCCTATCTAGACCATTTTTTACTTTCATATTCACACCCA